GTGCCGCGGTGTGATCTCGTCTTACTGCCACCTCTGCCTCCTGGGTCCAAGCAATTCTTCCGCCTCAGCCTCCTGAGTAGCTGTGATTACAGGCACCCACCACCACACCTGACTAATTTTTTTTTTTTTTTGTATTTTTAAGAGAGATGGGGTTTCACCATGTTGGCCAGGCTGGTCTTGAACTCCTGACCTCAGGTGATCCACCCATCTTGGCCTCCCAAAGTGCTGGGATTAAGGCATGAGCCACTGCACCCGGCCAGATTTTATTTTTTAGGAATAAAATGTATCGATTGTCTTTAACACTTTTGTTTATATTAGTATTTACTCCTTGGAGTATAATAGTAGCAGTGTTTGTTACGTTAAATGATGATTGTTTAATACAAACAAGATTCCTCTGTTTTCAAAAAGATATATATGGAGAGAGAGAGAGAGAGAGACAGGGTCTCACTCTGTCACCCAGGCTGGAATGTAGTGGCGCAATCATGGCTCACTGCAGCCTTGACCTCCCAGGCCTAGGCAGTCCTCCTGCCTCAGCTCCAAGTAGCTGAGACCAGGCATGCAACAGCCTGCCTGGATAATTTCATTTATTTATTTGTAGAGACGGGGTCTCACCATGTTGCCTAGACTGGTCTTGACCTCCCAGGCTCAAGCGACTGTCCCACATTGGCCTCCCAAACTGCTGGGATTATAGGAGTGAGCCACTGCACCTGGCCAATACTATATATATATATAATATATATAGATAGATAGATATATGTATACACACTATATGTCATAATGTATTTATTACATTATATTACATTGTATATAATACTGTGTGTGTATATATACATATTTCTTATAGTTACTTAAATTGGGGGAATAATTTAGAGAAAATCTTTTTCAATTCTCTCATTTCACATATTCAAAAACTCAGAAGTGACCCAAGGTTACACAGCTAGTTAGCAGCCTTAACAAGGGTTAGAACCCCATCATCTGAGAATCCAGTCCTGTATTTTATACACAATTGTATTTTATAAATGCGGCACAATTAAAGGTACGTAGAGGAATATTCTGAGTTACTGCAGTTACCCTGTTTGGTACTGAGATGACTCATTGCCACCCAGAGGGGTGCCCCTGCTCAGTTGATGGGTGGCAGCTGCCCATGGAGAAGTGAAGAAACCAGGGTGCTGGATGTGCTCACCCTAGAAGCACATGTAGCACCCGAGTGGGAAAGGACAGGCTAACACTTGGAGAACTGGCAAAGAAAAAACAAAGAAGAAGGAAAAGTTCAGAGCAGAACTGGGATGAGAACCAGCTCTCCAGGCTCAGACCAAGACCTCTCTGATGGGGCATCCCAGAAGTGGGCACCCTTAATGTGAGCTTGTCATCCGTGCTAAGCTGAAAGCACTTGTGTACCTCACCAGTAAGTGGGAAGCCAGGCTAGAGATGGAGAGTTGGGAATGTAAATGTTCTGAACAGCAATTCCTCTCCTGGGACCGTGGGCAATGTCCCTCCTCCCTACTCTCTTGCCTCAGTTTACCCACGAGGTGCTTTATTAGCCAGAAAAGCCATTGCAGCTTTTGCTGTAATCTATCTATGGAGACTGAACACACACACGCAAACAACTGAAAACATCATGCTTACAAAATGAGGATTGTGCAGATTGCTGTTGAGGCTGGCTAACCAACAGCAAATGTGAAACAGACCCAGATAATTTCCCCAGGCTTATTAAATTGATTCCTGCTTCCCCATGGTGGTGGTGGAGATGCTGGCTGCAGGGAACAGACACAGGGAAAGAGTGGTAAAAACTTCGCTTTTTGGTATGTTGCACAAACAGCCCCCACTGCCAAGTGAGTCAGAACTTCCGAACAGCATAATTTTAGTGCCCTTCTTGTGGTTCTCTCTCTGGGCTGCTTCTGAAAGGAAGGTCTCAGGGCGGGGTTTCCTGTGTTCAATTCCAGAGATGACAAAGGGGCTTTTCCCCCAATCCTTTGCCAGATTTTTTTTTGCAGATGGGTTTTCATGTCTACCCCATTCTGTAGCTGCAGGTAATGCTGAGGACTAAGGCACTGTGGACTTCCTAGTTGCAAACTGCCCCATCCCTTCGTATTGCTTACTCAACTTCTGTTTTCCTTCCATATGGACTACTTTGGAGAGGAAAAAGACTGGCATCAAATAAAAAATAGGGTTCTGTTTTTGATGTAATGTTTACGTCAGGCTTAAGAAAAGTAATGGATGGCCGGGCATGGTGGCTCACACCTGTAATTCCAGCACTTTGGGAGGCCAAGCAGTCGGATCTCTTGAGGTCAGGAATTCGAGACCAGGCTGGCCAACATGGTGAAACCCTGTCTCTACTAAAAATACAAAAAATTAGCTGGGCATGGTGGTGCATGCCTGTAGTCCCAGCTATTCAAGTGGCTGAGGCACGAGAATTGCTTGACTCTGGGAGGTGGAGGTTGCAGTGAGTCAAGATTGCACCACTGCACTTCAGCCTGGGTGATAGAGCGAGACTCTGTCTAAGAAAAGCAATGGAAGGGGAGAGTATTCTGAAAAGCAGCAAGCCCCGTAAAGCCCAAGGTAATAACAATCACATTGATAATAATAAAACTATCTACACAGTATTTTGCATTTCATAAAATATGTTTATCACATGTGTTTTCACCTATGAAAAATTATTACTATCCCCATCTAACATGAGAAAAACCAATGTTGTAAGAGGTCACATTCAGTGTAAGATCACACTGTATGTGTACACTGTATGTGTAAGTCAGTCTTACATTGTAAGATTCACTCAGCGAAATAAGTAGCAAAGCTTGACCAGGAAAGTGAATATCTCCACTGCTCTGAACTGGTGCTCTGCACTGCACCAGCAGCAGGAGGGACAGTTCATCTCTGTGCACCATGGTGCCCTGACACAGAATTATTACACCCTGACCTCCTTGGAGGTGGTAGTCTGTGCCTCATTCTTCCTCGTATTCCCAGAGACTGACACATAGTGGATACTCAGGAATGTTTGATGAAAGACTGAATATGCCAGAGACTGCAGCAGTCATACCATTCCCAGAACCATAACGTCACAGCTCACCTGAGCTGGGTGCTCAGATACCAGGCACAAAACCATACAAGATAAGCTCCTATTATTAGATCTATTTAACAGAAAAGGAAACCAAGTATGAGTTATCAGCTGAAAGTTGCAAATTGGGCACTTTGTCACTAGAGCCTGAGCTCCCAACTATACCCGGCCATCTCTGCCTGCAGGACATTGAGTTACGGCGGCCTGCTCCACCCTTGGAGCAGCCTGGGGGAGCCATCTCTCTTCTTGCACAAATCACCTGCCCTCTTTGTGCCTTGGTTTCCCTTGTCAGGCGAAACTCATTAAACTTTTCCTAACTACCTGGAGGATGTTTACAGATTTAATGAGGAGACACATTTGAAAGCATTCTGAAAAGCAACAAGCATGATCCAGATGCAGGCATTATAATCATTGTTACTCACCGCCTGCACCTGCAGTTTGACTGTGGTAACCTCAAGGCCTGCGGCAGCACTCCTAATTGAGTCACAGTGATAATAACACATATAATAGCATACTTGGAACCAGTCAGTCGCAGGGAGATGGGAGGGGTCTTGTGTATGTCTTCAGCAATGCTGTGAATAATTACAGCTTAATAAATGGGATCTAAGAGGTGTGGGTCTACCTCAGAGTGAATCCTGGGTTTTGGCTAATTCTTCTACCTCCCTCTCAATTTCGAAAAGACATACACACACACACACACTCCATTAACTATCTTGTCCTGCTTTACAATTTAATCTCTTAGGATACTGACTTTTACACGATCTGTTCTGCAAACATCTGGCATCCCTGCTAAGAAACAAAAAAGGAAAACAGCATCCCGGAAGCACTGGATTTGGGTCAGTTACTAACTCCTCATCTGTAAAATCACTAGCCGCACCTAAATTGTGACGACTGGAGTTCACGTAAAACCTAGTTTTACAACTTGTATCCCTCATTAGTGGCGCTCATCTGATCCAGAGGCGGTGGAGTCAATCATGCAACTATGTAATTACTCGGAAAAAGATAAGAACTGGGGCCCAGGGCTGTTCAAGGCCGGGCTGGACGCACAGGAAGGCCAGTGACTGCTGACCTGGGAGGAGAGGGAGAGAGAGCCAGGGTGCAAAGGCTTCCGGCCACCAAGCAGTAGGAGTTTGGCAGAAGACTGTGGAGCAAACCCCAGGCCAAGGCAACCTCATGTGCACAGGCACAGAGGCAGATACGGTTTAGACATTCTGGGACAAGGTTAAAGGGTTGGCATGGCTGGAGCAGGGCTTGGGAGGACGGGAGGATGTTTCTGCTGGATGGGGAGGGAGAGGGGAGGAACATTCTGGGTTTGTTGGGGGTTCACATTATGCCTGGTGATTCACATTCCTTGCGACTCCCGGACTGTGGGACCGAACTGTGGAGTGGAAGAGGATGGGCAGAGTCCCCCCGCCCCAACCACCCCGCCCTTTCTCCCCGCGTGAGGCTAGCTGATGGGTGTCATTTTCTTCTTGGATTTCGCGCCTCTGGGCGATGTGCCCCTTCCTAGGCCCCCACCTCTGCTCTGTGAGGGCAAGATCTGCCGGCGTCCTAATCCCTTTTCCAAGTCTGGGCGCACAGATCCAACTTTCCCGCGGGAGAGGCAGCTCCGCGCCATTCCCTAGAATGAGAAAAGGGACGGTGGCTGTGTGTGTGTCGGGAAGACAGACAGGGGCCAGGGCTCCGGGCTGCTTTCCAGGCCACCGTGGACAGGACACCCCCTTAACCCCCGCCCCGGGTCCGCGACAGGGAGCGGTAAGGCTCTTCCTCGGCCCTGGTACCCGGGGCCACGCAGGGTGTCCGCCGGGCTGGGGTTGCGCACCCGGGGCCTCCGTTGAGCGCGTGCGGAGAGGGGCGCGGCCTCTCCCGCTGGGCCACCAGGCGGGTCCCGGCGGGGGCGGGGGTACTCGCGGTGTCCGGGCCCGCCCCAGCCCTGCCCCGCCCCGGAGCCGCCCGGGACGCAGGGAGGAGGGAAGGAGGCTCGGCCCCAGCTACCCGCGGCGCCGCGCTCCTCCACGCTCCGGGCGGGTAAGTGGCACGGGGCCGGGAGGCCAGGCCGGGGGCCGGGGCCTGGGCGGGTGGGGTCCTCAGCCCCCTGCCCAGCTCTGACACAGCCCCGGGGATCCGGGGCGCCGAAAGTCTGGGGGACCTGGGGAGGCGCGCCCGGCGCGGGGGCGGGGGCTCCGGCGTGACAGCTGCGGGCGGGCGGGTATTTTTAGTTTAAATCCAACCGTTCCGTGCTGGCTGCGAAATTCCCGAGCCTTTGCTTTCAACCCCGGGGAGCTTCGGCCCGCAAGAAAAAGCCCTAAAGCCCGGGGCAGCACGTCCCAGGCGGGCCGGGTGCCTCCTCGGGGCTTCCCTCTGCCTCCCCTAGGGGCGGGCTGACCTGTCACCAAGGCTTGCACGCGGCGGGGCCCCGACCCGCTCCTGGCGACCGCGAGCGCGCTCAGTAGTGTCTGGGAGAGCAGAGCAGGCGGCGAGGAGAGGAAGTCCAACCCCGAATGCTCAGTTTTGTTCAGACGCCTCTTGGCTGTGCAAACTTGACAAGCAGCTCAACCTCTCTGAGCCTCATTCCCACATTGCTAAAGGGGAGGGCAGTGAGGCCAGAGATGGCTTGCAGGGCCTGAGAGAGCCTCAGATGGATGTTGACTTCCCTTGGGGTCTTGGGATCTTGACCCCAAACAGCAGACCCATTGATGTGGCCCATTGGTCAACCCAGGAGCAGTGTCCTACACCGCCCAGCTGACTTCTGCTTCAAAACTGGAAGCCAGGGCCTCCAGCCTGGGCGGGGTGATAATGAATATTTTTAGTTAACCACTTTGGCCCTGAAGCTCCAACCGTGGGCTGCCCTGGGACTCTTTCCCAGGTCCCTGGTCACCCCTTTCAACTCTGAAGAGTTACCCTTATCCCAGCACTGGGTGCAGGGGCTTTCTACAGCCAAGGGCTGCTAGTGGGATAGCCTGATGTCTCTTGGGGGCATGCCCCATCCCACATGAATGAGGGCATGAGGAGAATGGACCGTCCTCCCAGAAAGGAGAGCATGTCAAAATCACTGCCGTTCTGAGCTTGGCACGACAGCCTCCCTTATCCACCAAGAGAAGCAGAAACAGGCCCAGAGAGGGGGAGTGATTTGCCCAGAGCCACACTGCCTGGCTCTCTTAAAGGGCCTGACCTTGCTGCCTGCAGCTAACAGACAGCTAACAGCCCACAGGAGTCAGGAGCTGGGAGGTGGGAGGGGCGTACCAGTGCCAACGAGCTGTTTTGCTCAGTTTCCTGTCACTGTGCCCCAGCGGGACGCTCCAGCACATGTGGGTCTGCACATTCCTCAGGCCGGACAGTGCTCGGCAGGCTGACAGCCACAGCTGTGCCAAGCCTGCTGGCCCCGGGAGTTGTTTTCAACCAGAGAGGCCCCTCTGGGGGTGGCTGAGCGGGAAGTGGGCTGGGATGTCTTATTTCTGGAACTTGTGTCTTGCTGGGGGTCCTGAGGAGAAGACCTGAGGATGTGTTGGTGGCACAGAGGGAAGTGGTGAGAATCCAGGCTCAGGTTTCTGCCTCCAGGTACAGTCTGGCACCTGGCACCTGGCTCCCTGCAGGTACACTTCAGGGTGACTTGGAGTCCTTTCTGTCTCCATGGGAACAACCCTCCTGCCCGGGTGCTTTGCATGCTCTCCAGCAGCCATGGACCTGGCCATGCCTGGGCAGCCCCTTTGCCTTGTGACGCAGCCTGGAGCAGGCTGCCGGGGGCCCTGGCTTGGTGGCCCCGGGAGGCAAGACTGGGCAGGCCCAGCTCAACCTTAAAATCACCCTGGAGGCTTTGGGAACCCACTGGGCAGCTAGGTCTCCCGCATTGTCCAGCTGTTAGGAATGAGGGCAGTGAAGTTGGATTGCCTGAGTCCAGTCCTGCCTTAGCCAGCTCCTGGCTGTGTAGCCTTGGGAAAGTTGCTTCACCTTTCAGAGCTTCAGTATCCTTCCCCATGGAAAGGGGCTAACCATAGCACTGCAGGTGTTGCCTTGCAGGGCGTCATGAGCACTAAACGAGCTTTGTCCTGATCAGCATCTCGTATGATGTCAGACACAGCACACGTGAGAAGGTGTCACAGTTTGAGGCCAAGGGGCCTCATCGGGATACCTGGGTTCCCCTCTGCTCTGCCCCTCCTCTCCCTACCTTGATGTCCCCTTGTCTGTCAATGACGAGTGGTCCTGGCTCACCCCCCTCACAGTCCTTCCGGCACTGAGAGCTGGCCCTTGGCCCCAGGGAAGGCAGGAGGTTCTAGAGAAGCTACAGAGGGACTCAGATGTGTCAATGGGGTCTTCCAAAGCACTTCCTGCCTCTCACCTCCTAGGATCTGGCAGTAGGCAAGGCTGTCACTGCTGGCCCGTTTACAGATGAGGAGGCTGATATCCGTGGCTGGATGTGGTAAAGCCAGGATTAGAACTCAGGGCTTTTGACCTGATGCTCTTCCTGATACCACACGGCCTCTCCTAGACAATCCAAGGACAATGTTGTACATTCATCACTGGAAAAACAGTACCGACCAGACAGGATGCTTATCCTCATTAAGTCATCAGTACTTGCTGGAAAATAATATGGATTCTGAATATATATATATATTCCTAAAGCAGCCCGACTGGACCACAAAGATAGGAACCCAGGAGCAATAGTGTTTCCTGACCCTCCCATCCCAAAAGGAACCTTTGCTTTAGGACTGAGGGATGATGTTCTGGGGCTGAGCAGCTAGGAAGTGGATGGGAGACAGCTTCGGGAAGCTGACGCCTTAATTCTGTCCTCTCTAAATACTTCCCTTTCGGGCTTGCTGTGAGGATAAGTGAGGTAACTGGGGATGACGCTTAGCAGAACACCCGGCATGGTGGGGGCACACCATAAATAGGACTGATGGTTTTTATTATTACTAACCTTCTGCTATCACTGTAACACCAGAGTGCAGCCTGGATTTCTCGCCTGGGTTTCTAGGCTGCACATGCAGCATAGAGAATCCTAGCATCTCCATGGAGAACTGCTAAGGAAATTGTAAAAGCTCAAAACACAAGCACACTAAGCAATGAGTTGTTTAGTGACACCTAGCTGAGAAGTAAAATGATGACAAAAAGCAAGAAGGTGATTATCTTAAATAAAAGCCAAGCATTACCACATGTGCTGAGGAAAGGCAAGAGAGGGTCAGGAGACTCATAGGGGGCAGTTGCAAAGGAAATCACTTTGTAGTCATTGGATAATTACATGTATATTTTATACATGCCTTTATACATAGATTCTATTTCACAAAGTTAAGCCAGTTTAAAAAAAAAAGGCAAGGGAATGATAATGCGAAATCAAGGTGGTTATCTTTGGGGAGATGTGGGTAATTGATCAAGGAGATGCCTGTTTCACTCTTAGTGGGATCCATTATGTTCTGTTTCTTCAGTCCAGTGGTAGGCTTGTGGGTGTTGTTTTTAATTTTAATATTTGTTTATCTATTTATTTATTTATTTGAGACAGAGTCTCACTCTGTTGCCCAGGCTGGAGTGCAGTGGCGCGATCTTGGCTCACAGCAACTTCCGTTCCCCAGGTTCAAGCGATTGTCCTGCCTCAGTCTCCCGAGTAGCTGAGATTATAGGCATGTGCCACCATGCCTGGCTAAGAGTGTTATTTTAAAATATTTTTATGCTTCACCATTTGCAAACAGGAGACACATATATTACATTACATATATATATAATCTTACATAATACCAATTAAATTAAAAGATCATCTGGAGCATTTTCAGATGCTTTCTTAGAAAATCTGCCTCTCTCCTCAGATTCAAATGTTAATCTGGCTGGATTTAAAAAATAAAGCAACAAATCCTGTTGTATGACACATATTTCTCTTTAATGTAGGAGGACATAATCTCCCTTTTCCCAAATCATACAATGAGCAAGATAACAATAACACTTTATGACCTCAGGTGATCAACAGGATTTGTAAAGTTCCTGGCCTAATGATTTATGCTTCTGAATCATAAAATCCTGAAATATTTGAGCTGGGAGGAACCTCAGGTCACCTGGACCAATCTGCTGGTTTTATAACAAAAGGAAGTGTCCCGGCCAAGGTCAACACTGGCACACACATAGGGAAGACACTTCTCTCCAGACCGCCACACCTGTGTGACTATCATAAGGATACTACCCGACAGACAGACCAGTGTGAGTCCTGGGTCACTAGCCTCCTCCTTAGGGCAGTCAGGGAGAGAGACGGGAAGTATGCATGAGATTAAACTGATAGGATCATTTTATTTATTTATTTATTTTATTTTATTTTTATTTGTTATTTTTTATTTTTGTTGACACAGAGTCTTGCTCTGTCTCCCAGGCTGGAGTGCAATGGTGCGATCTCGGCTCACTGCAACCTCTGCCTCCCAGGTTCAAACAATTCTTCTGCCTCAGCCTCCTGAGTAGCTGGGACTACAGGTGCGTGCCACCATGCCCAGCTAATTTTTTTTTTTTTTTTTTGTATTTTTAGTAGAGACAGGGTTTCACCTCATTGGCCAGAATGGTCTCGATCTCCTGACCTCATGATCCGCCCACCTCGGCCTCCCAAAATGCTGGGATTACAGGCTTGAGCCATCATGCCTGGCCCAGGATCATTTTATTTTTTAAAAGTCAGAGGAGAGTTACATTTTACAACGGAACCACACATTTCTAGAACTTATATGAACAGAGATATCCTCAAAGAAAACATATAAGCAGTGCTTAGAATCTTCTTTCCTACAGGAAGTCCTCTTAGGAAAGAGCTCCCCTTACTCATCCTATTTTTGGCTGGCATATTTGATCGCCAAAACAATTGAGTGCTGCAGGTATGGTTATTTCCATCTTTCCGTGGGGGAAACAGGTTCAGAGAGGTTCAGTGCCTTGACCCAAATCACTCAGCAGGTGAAGATGGAGCAGGACTTTCATCCAGAGGGGGAGTGGAAGAGATGAGCCACTTTTGTTTTCAGTGCGCTGTGCTGTGAGCACATTCTTCACTCCTTAGATGCTGAAATTCCGCAGCCCGG